CATTGGAATGCCGGGCATGGTACGTTTTTTTTTATTTGAAAATCAACAGTTTGCATTATGCAATTAAAAATCCTAACCCAATAAAGTAGGGAATAGCTATCCAACTGTTGTTTTAGTTGTATTTTACTTCATATTATAGTTATATCAATGTGAATCATGTTTTCCCTTGTGTTTCTCATTCTTTCCCTGCCATGTCGTAAAAATGTGGTGAACCCATCGCTGTATTTGCTCCAAAGCAAATATTGGCCTTTCTAGTCTTTTTCTGTGTTCTATATACATGTCTATGTTCTATATACATGTCCCTTCAGTATACGTTTTTCTTTGTGTGTATCTTATGTTTGTGAAAATCAATAAAAAGAACTAGAAAGGCCAATATTTGCTTTGGAGCAAATACAGCGATGGGTTCACCACATTTTACGACATGGCAGGGAAAGAATGAGAAACACAAGGGAAAACAATGATTTCCATTGATATAACTATAATATGAAGTAACATACAACTGAAACAACAGTTGGATAGCTATTCCCTACTTTATTGGTTAGGATTTTTAATTGCATAATGCAAACTGTTGATTTTCAAAATAAAAAAAAAACGTTCATGCCCCGCATTCCAATGCTGGAGCAGAAAAGCTTGAAATACCTACCAAAACACTTGAATAAAGACATACTGTCAGCATGGAAATGCTCTGTGCAGGTGTTAAGTTAAATCCCAACAGCCAATCAGCAAGAAATGCTCTGTGTAGGTGGAAATGCTCTGTGCAGGTGTTAATCAAGTTAAATCCCAACAGCCAATCAGCAAGAAGTATAGTGGAAAGCTGCATGCCTATTGGTTGATGCCCTGCATTCCATTGTGATGACTCATGCCCAGACGTGGTAAACACGGCACACTAACACAGTAATACATTTGCTATAACACAGCCAAAAAACTCAAATAAAACCATTCTTAAAGCCTGTATCACAAAAATTTAAAAACGCATAGGGGTATTTGCCCACTGTACCTCCATACCAAATTTCAGGACCTTAGGCCCTAAAATGAAGAAGCTGAATCCATTTAAAAAATGGCAGGAGAAGAAGAAGAAGAAGGAGGAGAAGAAACATCAGAAAAAGCAATATGGGTTCACCACCACTTCGTGGTGTGGTGAACCCATAATGATTACAGAAAAAAATATGGCAGCTACAGGAGAGAAGTAGGGGTTATAACCAGGTACCTAGTAGTTACTTTACTTACTTAACAGGGCGTAGGAATGTAGGGGTAGGGATTTGATTCTCGTTGTCCCTATCCAGGTTGTGGTCACTGCGCGACCAACACGGTCTGTGATGCTGTCACGGGAATCTGTCCTGCTGGATGTGAGTCTCCGTGGACGGGAGACACCTGCCAACAAAGTAGGTAGATTTACTATTGTCAGAGCACCCGTCAAGTAAACATGAAAAGCTTTGTACCTTACGTCAAGTTGACAAAAATAAATATTATCTTTCTAGCTGTTCACAAAATTCCTGACATATCTTTTCCTATGTTATACATGTGGCTAAGAAAGTTAATGTCTTATCATGATAAATGTTAAATGCCTTTGTCTTGAAATGTAATGTCTTACCTATTTCCTGATATGTTCCAGTACGCGCGACAGTAACACAGCCCCCGGTAAGCTTGACTCGATCCTTGAACCAGCGTGCAGAATTCACCTGTGCCGGCCGGGGTGAACCCATGCCGACCGTGACGTGGAGACATGACGGCGCCGTGGTTACAGCGGGAATCGTGACGGCACCAGACTCTACCCAGCACTCCTTCACCAGTACACTGTCTATAAGTTCCGTACAGCGGCGTGATAACGGACAGTACACGTGTAGAGCTACAAAACGTCCTGAACACGGACACATCACAGCCCGCAGCATTGACTGTGATAGGTATATTAATATAAAATACAACACGGGGTATTCCGTATCGCCCGAGGTATAGGCCCGACCGCGGGGGGGGGGGTCCAGGGCGATGCGGAATACACCGTGTTGTATTTTATTTATATCATACCCACCCAAGAAAACACGCCTTTCAATGCAAGATGAGCCAAAAGTTGGTGCCACTGAACCCTAAAATGCAACAACATCAATTCTAACGTCCGGATTCTGTATTCGAATCTTCGAAAGGGGCACACGCGGTTAGGGCGAATCGCGTTCGAATCGTGTTATGGAAGCCAAGGAAGCGTTCGATAACGGGTTCCGGACCGGGCCGTACCGTAAAGTACGTAAAGTACGGCCCGGTCTGGAACCCGTTATCGAACGTTATCGCGGCCCGGGTATGATATAAGGACTATAAGTTACCTTTAATTATTACTTCACAAGGAAATGTATGTAATTGCCAGTTATATAGTTCATGCTCAAACAATTTCCTCCAATTTGAAACTATAAATTTTCCGTGATAAAACTGATCTGTTATTTTACTTAATCACCTACTAGACGAAGTGTTTGTTTCTTTTCAGAACGACCGGAAAACATAGCAGTGATCGTGACGTCCTACACGGCTACAGAAATCCACGCCAGAGTTACTGTAGGTTTCACAGGAAACCTGGCCATTACTGCTATCCAGGTAAGGTATAAACAGACTGCTGAGTCAACATGGGGCAGCTGGACTTCTGTAAACTTTACAGGTACACAGGGAAGCTTCGACCTTACCGGACTGACTCCTGCTACAGACTACATGGGAGAGGTACTGGCACGGAATGATGAAGGCTGGAGTGAAACTGGGCAGTTTACACAGAGAACTAAAAATGCACGTGAGTAGAAACTCCATTTTCACTGTTTAGATCTAGCTAGTACATCCCACTAACCATTAATACTCATGTGGTCTCCATGTATGTGCCCTATGGTGTTCTATTACTATTATACACGTGCGGTATTTCAACTGATTTCCTTATTCTTTTTTTGCCACATTTTACTTAGAATGTACATCTTCTGCTTGTCTTCAGGGGTATAAAAATAGGCATAAAACTATTACTAGAACTTACAAGTCCTCTGTAGTTATTTTGATAACTTAGCCGTGATGCTCTTGTACCTGGTGAAAAAAGGGAACTTTGACCCGACATTTGCGCAATCTTTAGTGAGGAATTCAATATTTCACACACTTCTCCACATACCCTCCTCCAGCTCCTGGGCCTCCGTCATATCTACAGGCTCCTTTAACTTCCCATCACTCCATCAGCCTGACGTGGCAGCAGCCTGCTGTAACAAACGGAGTCATCACTAACTACTACATCCAGTACGGACCGACTACGGTATGCTCGGACGCCCAGTTGTCCCACGGGTTGAACACAACAGACAGTACCACATCCAGGACGGTTCCTGAACTAATCCCGTACACAACCTACAGCTTCAGGATTTGTGGCTTCACCAGCGCCGGTCCGGGAGACTACAGCGGCTGTGTGACTGCAAAGACGACGGAGTTCAGTGAGTATCTAAAAGCCGCTTATGACACTGCTAAAATTGACATGTGGTATACATTTTGTCACCTGTCACCCCAAACACCAATAACTTGTACCTGATAGTATGTCCATGTGTCATGAATATATCGTTTTTGCCTTTAACATATTTGGTTGTTATATGCTTCTTTCATTAATGTTTACATTGGTACTTGTTCTTTAGCTCCCACCGAACCTACATCAGTGGAATTAACGGATGTAAATCCGTGCAACTGTGAAACCGCCAATCAGCACAGAACAATCCAGCTGGAAGCAAGATGGCGGCGACCACAGCACGTGTACGGGGAACTACGTGGGTACAACCTGAAACTTCAGCAGCAGGACTCGGTCATCTACGACCACAACATCACACAGGGTCTGGGGAATGACCAACTGACCTACGTGGTGTCTGCGGACGACGTGGCGTTCCTTGAGCCGGCCCGAAGGTATTCTTTAAAGGTACGAACTTAACGCCTTCTTTTGGCATCATTTATAATAGAGTTGCCCAAATAATAAAGCCATGTTCAAATTGTAAAATATCATTGTCACATTACCACTTTAAATGTAACTGTAAATTGATATTTCAACCTTTGTAAACTTATAATTATCAACTTATCACACTGCACCATGCAATTTATCGACATAACAAGTTCTTCATTTGTTTTTTGCCCCCCCCCCCAGGTTTCTGCGTATAACGGTGTATACGTTGGGGAGGTCAAGAGTTCTGCAGAGAGTCAGACAAGTGACGGATGTAAGTACAAGCTCTTTAACGGTGTTCTACATCACTGATCAGGTTTACATTATGTTTCTCAATAATTTTCTTCCGACGTCAAGGAGACGTTTTATTTGTTTTTCTTCCTTTTAGTTAAAGTGTATTACAGTCTGTATTATGATTTATGTTTCAGGCCCTACTGCGCCACTAGTATCCAAGATACCACAGGAAGGCATGTGTGCAGTTAACTGGACGGAACCGTCTGGAGACAGGGGGAATATCACAGGATATTGGGTGAGATTGTGGCAAATCATTTCCAGTGATGAGTTAACGCTATTGACAAAAATATATCAATGGAAGAGTTGATTGAGGAGTGATTATGATTTTTTGAGAGATATCACAGAAATATTATTGTGTTGACAAACATAATTCAGCTGAAGACGAGTGTAATAATTGTAGATTTAACATAAATAAAGCCCATTAAATGGCACACATGAAATGCACCATGACTTGCTGTGTTGCCTTCTTTTCTGGCAACAGATTCAAACAAAAGTGCGTAACGTTTGGATACTCAATGACTGATTGTGGCGAATTCAATGTTGATGTATCACGTGTACTTTCTGCTGTCCAGGTTGCCATCAGTGCCACGAGGTTAGGTGAAGACTTTGCAACAGATACTCCGGCAGAGCCTGTCATCACATCGAACTTAAGTTGGGCAGAGTCCTTAGCCCGTCTTCCCGCCTACTCATTGGTCCACGTCACAGTTCGGGCGATAACCTGTTCAGAGGGAGAAGCGAGTGAAGAGATAAACTGCACAGTTACAAGAAGAGGTGAGCGAAATTGTCATCCGCTATATGTCGATATTGTGACTATAAAAAGTGTGAGCTGTGAATGTAATAATCTTGCTTATTTTTGATACGGATACATGTACAAATACCATACGTTGCGTCGGTGGCGCATAGGTTAGAGCGTTGAACTCGGAACCAATAGGTCATGGGCTCGATACTCACCGTGGCCCGACGTTGTGCCCTTGGGAAAGGCACGTGCGCGCACTTTACACGACTTTCAACCGAGCTAATCTGTCTAATTGTGTGCCGAAAATACACTACGGATTTGGTGCGCCAATGTAACAACATTGCTACCGAGAGCCGTTAAAACATGTGCCTATTAGTCTAGCATTTTTCTCATCTTTGATACGTCTCTTGCAGAGCCACCAAATGCGATTCCAAACGTGACTGTTGATCAGGATTTGTCTGAAACGTCCAGTTCATTCGGGCTCATTTTACCCAACATAAGCCAGAGAAACGGGCCAATAAGGTAACGAATTCTTAATCTTATATGCAGACAATTGGCTCCTTTATTCGGAGTTGTAAGTTTGGTATTTAAGAAGCTAAACGTAAGAGTTTGAAATTCTGAAAGAAATGAAAGTGATCCAAACTGTCCTGAAGCGAGCATGATAATGTAGCTGCAATTTATTTCAAATAGCATGACATGTGTAATTGGCGCAATATGTTTTGTTGGGGGCTAATCCAGCAATAGATAACACCTTCTTGCGCCCATATTGAATCCAGCTGCTATCAAGTCATCATAGTACCAATGCGGAAGGATGAAACACTTGATGAGCTGACTGTAAGGGTTGGACAGCCACAAGACATTCTGACAGATTCTGCACCAGAGGACGGGAAGACAGAGCCGTACATCGCACTCGCCTACTCAGGGTACTTGTGAAATCAAATTGTTGAATATATTGTTATCCCGTAATTGATACACCACTTGTTTAGCAACGATCATATCAATTGAATAACGTATTTTGATACAATCTTTAAGACATCTGATAAAGGGTATTACTTCATTTGAATTCGGCAATCACTTGGACATATATATATAGGGAAGTCAAGAAGGTTAAGAACTTCAAGCAGTACTTCTTCAAACAAACACAGAGGCGTTATTACTGTCGCACCTATTTTTCAATCACAATTATTCTGATGACATCTTATTAGTATGTTTTAATCATCTCCAAAAGTAACCAAGAAACCAATATTGCATTTTCAATAATAGTCAATAGTGAATATGTTCGTGTGATATTACTAGTATTTCCAGGTGTTTGTAAATTTCATAATTTTGCATACCGAATACACAAATGTTACTATAGTTCCAGCTACGAAGAACGAACCGTGACCATAGGGACCAGTGAGTCTTGCACAGACCCTTGTTGCCATGTCGGGGCAGTAGAAGGTGCACCTGAGCCAGGTAACAGGAAACTGTCACCAGGGTCCGCTTACACTGCAACTGTCCGAGCGTACGTGGACCCTGGTGATCCAGAAGACTCGCGTCAAAGATCAGCTTCACAGGTAAATACCGTCTTTTGTTGTGGCCATTGTAATGATACTGCAGTGCTTCTGATGCAGTGCACCTATCTGTAACTCTTCAAACTTCATGACAAAGGTACTAATTAGTGTGTGCTTTTTCTTCCCTTACAGGTACATATGACAAGTTTGTTCATGCAACCGATAATAACAGGTAAGATATTTGTTCTTAAACGCAAGTATATTCATTCCTTTCTTTAATCTAGCTGAAATAAGAACGAGATTGAGATTTGATGCTATTTTCATCATTTTTAGTTCTGGAAGGAACGTTACCTTACGCCATCATCGTTGTTGCTGTGGTTGTCGTAGTCGTCACCAGTTTTGCAGCTGGAGCAGGCTTTATGTTCTACAGGTAAACTGACAGTTTTAAGCTTTGAAACTGTGATTGATTGAGCCTTCATCAATTATCAATCAAGAAAAGATTTATATTTATAAGTTAATGGTTTCGAATGTCTCGATAGTTATTCGTGCGTTTGTATTTCATTTTTTGTTTGTGTAATGTATCATTCATCATACATGTAATGCATCATTGCACCGCTTTACCTCCAACCTAGTTACAACTTTTCCAACAACTGGATAAGTAATCGATGGGTTATCGTGGTAGTTCCCTACATACAAAAACCTCTACAAATGACACTGGCATACCCCTTGATCCAGACGAAAATATATGAAGACTAAGAAGGAAGCCCCGAGAAAAGCAAAAGATGTCCCTCTCAGTGACATAACAAGTGATCAGGAGTCGAACATCGGAGGAACCGATAACGAAGCATTTTCCATAAGCGAACCCAGCTCAAAGGTATGGCTGAATATCAGTTAACATAAAATCTTCTCCAAATCCTTGTTGCTCGATCTATCATCAATCTATCCATCTATGCTAGCATGCTTGATCTATCATTTCATTTGGCCATTGGTTTCTTCGTTACAGGCTTCACCAACACACTTTGTACTTTTTTTTCAGTGTTATCACCGATTTTCTGAAATCAGGACTGTGGATGACGTGACAAAATATCTGAAAGAGAACAATTTTGGAGAGTACGCCGAATCGTTCAAAGGTATTTGCATCCTGCTTCCTTTTACAGATCCTATGACATGCTGTTGTTTTGCGTAGTTTGAAAGCTGTCAGAAGTGTTAATGGAAGGAATTATTAATTTTGATTTAAGACCACGATGTGGACGGGGATGCCCTGAAGTACCTCGATGACGCCATACTGAAGGACCTCATTCCAAAGGCTGGACCACGAGCAAGGTTTAAAGGCATACTGGTGGAAATGAAGCAAGACAATGTAAGTAGTTACCTGTTATTGCTGGTTTAACATGCTGCTATTCTTATCATGTTTAGCCCCTTATTCTGCATTTAGTAGGTGCCATGAATGTAATCGATCATGTCACACTGCTTATGCACAAAACTACCACAGGAGTCTCCAGTTGCAGCCCTGAATTTCTGGGAGATCCAGAGGACAAGCTTGAAGCTCGGCAAACGTCTCGGCAGCGGCCAGTTCGGGGAGGTGCGACTGGGAGAACTGCGTAACCGAGGACTGACAACCATCGTAGCTGTTAAAACCTTGAGAGGTCAGATACATAGTAATCTGTTACCAATATGCAAATGTAGCACTACATGTAGATGACGACAAAAGGAAAAACAAAAGTACAAGAAAATTAAAAGCATGATATCCATTTTTTTATGAATTAGAATAGTTTTTCTGTATTCAAATGTCACCCGGTGATTGTGATTGTCTTGAAATTACAGACTCGGCGTCAGAGTCTGACAAGAAAGACCTGCTGGGTGAGCTGGAGATCCTGGTGACTGTTGGTCGTCATGACAACATCATCTCTCTTGTTGGAGCATGCACCAAAGGTGGTAGGTATTAAAAAAATGGTGTATGTTCTTGTTTTAAATACATTGTCCATTTGCTATGGATGCTCATCGTATAATCAGGTTGTATTAGTTATATATCATATTCTGAACATATCCATGGTCTTCCGATACATTCATATTACCTGCCAATTTCAGGACCGTTGATGATAGTGGTTGAGTACGCCCCTAACGGTTGTCTGAAAGACTGGCTGAAGACCAACTCTGCTGAGAACAGCACAGATCTAGCCTACCAAAACCAGCCTGTGAACACTTCTCATCTGTCCATGGAACAACTCATCCAGTTCGGTGTCGATGTGGCCAGTGGAATGAGCCATCTTGCTACCATGCAGGTACGTCCTGCAAACCGTCCTATATAGTTCCGGTTTCGTCCTAAGATTCAATGGCTGATATACCTATACAGCTTGCCTACCAACTAGGAAATAAACTTTGCTTCAGACATACCAAAAATGATGAAAATACGTTGCTCCTTTCTGGACTTATCCGCTTTAAAAAGATTTTGCCAGGAAATCCCCTGCAGTTCCAGAGCAAGCTGCTAGGGGAGCAAAACCCACACCACTTATTCCTGCCAGGAAAAGCTATCTGTCGTCGAGAACATAGCATGTTCAGGACAAACAATAAAGTACATAAAGGCATTCTGAAGTTATGCTGGCTACAATTGTGCGAAAGGACATGTCGACAGACACACACACACAGACAGACATTTCAAAAACAATACCTCAATTTTTCATGAAGGCAATAATTCTTATAAAATTATGCCTACAGTGTGTCCATCGGGACTTGGCAGCCAGAAACATCCTCCTTGGAGAAAATCTCATCGCTAAGGTGTCAGACTTTGGCCTGTCACGTGACATCTATGAGGACAGTGAGTACGTCAAGAGCACAAAGGTAAAATATTCATCTGTCAGTAGAATAAAAGTTGAGTAAGAGAGTTATATAACTTATATGTATATAATTCCATTAAAAAAGGTAGCATTTTATGGAGAAATTATGCATGGTTAATACCAGGCAACCTCTGTAAATTGACATTTAAAGCCCTATATCTATAACACTTTCATCTTTTTTTCCTAGTTTAGTTATGCATTGGTTAAAGATGGTGAAAAATTACATTTCAGAGCAAGCTCCCTTTGCGGTGGATGGCCTATGAGTCACTGTTCTATAACGTGTACACAACTCAGAGTGACGTGTGAGTAAAATCTTTCCTTCTAAACAGGTGACATAATCTTCACTGAACGTCAACTGGAACGGTGTATTGCATTGTTGCCTAAAGAAAGAAGGGGGAGTCGTTGATCCATGAGGTTGATTTTCATCAAAAGAAAAAAAAAACAATATGCCTACATCTATGGTAAACACTAACGACGGTCTTTATTCTTCATTAATCGTCATCACAATTGAAAAATAGTCCATCAATAACTTTGTATACATTAGTACAATATCGACGCCTAAAGATCTGAGGCAATATGTACGTTGTATTGCAGCTGGTCGTTCGGAGTCCTTCTTTGGGAGATCATGGCAATGGGTAAGTCTCTTTCCCACCAACAGTCAAGTGATTTACCTGCCACAGTTATACGTATCCATCACTACTAGAGACTACATACTGCATTTATATATGATTCGTAATACAACAATTTTACTGTTATTCTTTAGGCAATCTACCGTATAAGGGTATGAAGGGCAAACGTATGATGGACATGATCAGAGACGGCGGCCGGCTGGAGAAGCCAAGCAGCTGCCCAGAGGAAATGTATGTAACCTTTTGGAAAACAGTTCGAAGATATCTTCATTCTTTACAATGAGAAGGTATAATGATGATTTAAAATTGAATCATTGTTGAACGTAAATTTTCCTAAGAGAAAACTATTATTGCACAAAGGCTAATATAGATATAAAATATGGGAAAGTGGCACGAGGAATCTGATGACCTTAGATACCATTAGTCTTGTAGCTATAATACACACAGGACATGTACCTACGTGTGTCGTAGAACTATTTCCTGTTTTATAGTGAAATGTTACTGTTTGATATTTTAAGTTGCTGATCAGACAATTAGAGCACCACGATATGAACTGTGAACAAATAAGTAAAATAAAAGTAGAGTCACACTTTCCCATAATCTTTTGTAGCTACACCCTGATGAAAAGTTGCTGGGAGACGCTTCCAGAAGACAGACCGACTTTTCCTGAACTGAGATCAAGTCTCATCGGGATTACGCAAGGCTACAAGGTATATATACGTATGGCCATCCTTTGATTGCATGCTGGAGGTTATACTTCTTGTAAAGGGCCTGGGTATTGTTGTTGTGCATAGTTGTCATTCAGAATACCACACTCTTTGTATTAGAAGATAAACAGCAACTAGAAAGGCCAATATTTGCTTTGGAGCAAATACAGCGATGGGTTCACCACATTTTACGACATGGCAGGGGAAGAATGGGAAACACAAGGGAAAACAATGATTTACATTGATATAACTATAATATGAAGTAACATACAACTAAAACAACAGTTGGATAGCTATTCCCTACTTTATTGGTTAGGATTTTTAATTGCATAATGCAAACTGTTGATTTTCAAAATAAAAAAAACGTCCATGCCCGGCATTCCAATGCTGGAGCAGGAAAGCTTGAAATACCTACCAAAACACTTGAATACAGACATACTGTCAGTATGGAAATGCTTCTGTGCAGGTGGAAATGGTCTGTGCAGGTGTTAATCAAGTTAAATCCCAACAGCCAATCAGCAAGAAGTATAGAGGAAAGCTGCATGCCTATTGGTTGATGCCCTGCATTCCATTGTCATGACTCATGCCCAAACGTGGTAAACAAGGCACACTAATACAGTAATACATTTGCTATAACACAGCCAAAAAACTCAAATAAAACCATTCTAAAAGCCTGTATCACAATAATTTAAAAAAACGCCTAGGGGTATTTGCCCACTGTACCTCCATACCAAATTTCAGGACCTTGGGCCCTAAAATGAAGAAGCTGAATCCATTTAAAAAATGGCAGGAGAAGAAGGAGGAGAAGGAGAAGGAGAAGAAACATCAGAAAAAGCAATATGGTTTCACCACACCACTTCGTGGTGTGGTGAACCCATAAATAGAACGCGTTACCATCATTGCCATGCACATTGAGTCTACATCGAAGACAGATAAATATAGACTTTTTTCATTTCTCATTTTCAGACGTATGCCTCACTTCTGAAGTAGCCGGACGTTGAGAGCCATTTGAAACTTTGAATGAAACATTTCTGAGTATAATATATTGACGACCCATCGTGAATCCATGTAGACCGATAAAGATTGCATTTGGACCTTTTCGTGGTGATAAAATGAACATTAACTAGAATCGTTTTCGCTCATAATAGTCCATAGATTAATTTAAATTCCCCAAAATGGTACAAGGTACAAAGCATGGCATCTTTTGTAAGAAACATGCTTTGAGAATAATCCACCTTACGAAGATTGCAGTATGGAGTGAGTATGTGCTTTTGACGTGAATTTCTAGTGTTTAAACAATTTTATCGATATTGTCCTATATGTACAATGTATTTCAACATCATAACATTCGCTGTATGAACCCATTGATAGAAATCCTGAATGTGAAGGATGTGTATATAGCCATTACGCATCAACATATTTGTAAAAAAAACATCAGAAATTGATATTTGTCTTATATTAGTCCTGGACAAAATGGACAAACCGTTTGGTCAACAGCTATATTTTTTAATCTCTCTTTATTCAAATTCAACTCTTTATTTAGCTTTGTGATTGACCTACGGGCGTTTATGTTTGAAAGGTAGTTTTGTTTGTTTTATATATTAACGTTTGCTCAGGATAGAACAGAATGTTTAGCATTGTTTTAAATAGCGCGATTTACATATGAATTTTATACCCTAGAGACAAACGGTAATGAGTAGTCTGTACTGTTTGAAAAATCGTGCCCGAAGGCTAAAGGGTCACGAAAGTACACTGTAAAGTTAAGCAATAGAAAACATACCTTGAACCTTAAACATGGACATCGGCGATGTCATCACGGGGAACAATAGGAACATGCAACTACTGTCTAATTAACTTGTATGACTAGTACGGTTGCTATCATGGAGATGGATTTCTTGTTTGATATACTTCCCAAACAACGTCTTCGTGCATGGAACCCCACGTTGTAACATTCGGTCTTTGCAATAATTACTGTATTGTGCAAAATATTGAACATTGATACTAATGCAGTCATTCTGGTTTATTTGACATTTCACACAAGATAACCCGTTTGTGTGAAGAATAGGAACAGATTATATAAACCATTTTTCACATACTAAGACATGTAGACAGGACAGGAAGGTTTATTGCTCCATCACAAACTAGAACAAGAATTCGTAGATCTCATACCTCCATGAAATATACGAGTTTTTGTAAATGTTTTTTATTTGTCTCATTGACTATGGAAAAAGGTCGTAATTGGCATAATCTAGATTAATTTATGGTTTTATAAATTCAAATGACAATATTTTCGTGTAAAATTCCTCTCCTTGCCATGCATCATTTCAACATGTCCTCATTAATTATGGAAATGACCTCTACATTAACATAATATATGCATAGTGGTGTTAACCTTTTAAGTAACTTACACATGTCACAAGGTATAAAATTCCGATCATTCACCAAAATGTTCACATTAATTATGCAAATTAAGTCATAATTTACATAATTGGTATCTGTTGATGTTCCGCCTGCCACAGAATAAATATGTTACATTTATTTATTTATTTGAAATTGCAACATGGCAATACAATTGCAAATCAACCGCGATACTGGCCTTTTGAGAAGATTTTGTTTGGCAGTTCAAAGAAATTTTTCGAGTCGTATATATCGTATATATCAGGGAAAGTTCACATTTCCCCAAGTGGACGCCTATCATTGCACAACGAAGAGAAGTCAAAACTACGTCGCGGTAGCGAACGAGAATAAAATTTACTTCCCCACCGTATGTTTTTTTTTTTAAATTAAGCCTCTTGGGTTATTTGGGCGATATCATAATGGTAAGTCTAAAACTATCCCCATCGTGCAACCGTACCGAAGTCGTCGGATGGAGCCTAAACTCCTTGGTTGGAAGAAATAATTTTGACAAAAATTACAAACGCTTTGTGTCGGCACAGGCAAGTAACTGAAACATAGCATCGACAGTGATAGACCAAAATGGTTGCTAGAGATAGAACGCTGAACATTGTTTTGAATGTGTTATTTGGGATTTGAATTGCAGTTAGGTGTATAACCTCCTTCGCTACACGAATTAAAGAAAAACATGGGGTTATAGGTTTATAAACTGTGAAACAAAATGGCGTCGGTTTGTAAACAAAGGACAAAGGAGGGAACCAGTCTAATCCAGATATGTTGTGAAACAACTCTCGCTTCAGCCGACTTTCTTCTACAAGATTTACTATTATACTTGTACTGTTTCTAAAATTTTCTTAATACGGTTATGTTTTTTTTTATCATTGACTCCAGAATGATTACAATGTATTCCCAGCGTACTAGCCGAAGACTCGGCACGCCGACCAAACAATCATGGCGTCTGCGCTGTTTCCGCGCTGTAAACCTCGTTTAGTAACAGGTACAACAAGAATACATGTATTAGAATGTATCTGAATCGTACGTAGTGAGTTTTTGGTAGATGTTCTTGAATAATCACTCGAGTCTGGAATTTTTTAGAGATATTCTAGATTCTGTCACGCGGCCGATACCGGCGCGTTCCGTGCTGTCTGTATGCAGTGGCGTGATCAAGCCGCATGGAGCCGGGGAACTTTAATCTCTGTGGAAGTTTTTAGTGTGTT